TGCCAATCACCGCAATGGTTTTAATGTGTTCCAAGCCACCTCTGAGGAAACCCTCGCATTCCCAAACACCCAGAAGAGTTTTCTTCAAGTGCTTTGCCCGATTTCACACGCCAGACATCCTCGGGGTGAGTGGGACAGTGGAGTGAAGACACGTCTAAAAAGAAAAGACAATGCAGTCCCCACAAAAACGCAGCGTTTGGATTGCCCAAGGCATCATTTTGTATGTGAACACCGTCATGGTGGCCTTCTTCCAGCCATGGCGCTTCCTGTTCCTTGGACGTCGATGAAATGATATATATATATATATCTATATGTGTGTGTGAATAATTGAAAATATAGTTGTGTAATTGGTACTACAATAAAATATTCTTGTCTACCGCAAATAGGTGTTTTGATCACTGCCAGCCTTTTGTCACTGCCGTCCTCGCTCCTTGTACCGATGCCCTTTGCTTCTATATAGCAGCTTCTTGCTCCCAATAGTAAAGGCCAGGAGCCGCTAGTAGCGTCCTTGCTCCTAGTAGCGTCCTAGTAGCGTCATTGCTCCTAGTAGTAAGGCCAGGAGCTCCTAGTAGCGTCCTTGCTCCTAGTAGCTCCTAGTAGCGGTGCCCTTTTCTCCTAGTAGCGTCATTGCTCCTAGTAGTAAGGCCAGGAGCTCCTAGTAGCGTCATTGCTCCTACTAGCGATGCCCTTTGCCCCTAGTAGCGTGCTTGTTTTACCTGAGCATTGAGAAGGTGAGGATGCTGTCCGACTCCGGATAGGGTTCGGACGATTAATCTTTGGCTTTGGAATTCGGGATCTAGACGTCAGACGTCCGCTGCTTTCGTGGTTTCCACAACATTGCAGGCCGGCCTGCCCCATACTTGAGCATGTTGCCATTGCAATGTTGCCTCAATTTTGATGGAGGATCGTGGGCACCCAGCCAGAGATCCGGGCGCCGGCCCCGGTGCCCGTTCCCTTGCTGGAGGCCTTCGGTTGGTAACCGAAGGTTATATACGCTCGCCGCCCCTGCCGCCGACCCTTTTGTAGGACCTCCGCCCGACCCCCGCCCGACCCCCGACCCCCAGTCGAATCCGGTCGACAGATTGCAAAAATGCTGTGTTTTTCAAGGGTGGTGTCGGTTATGCGTGCTGCGCGGACAGGCTTCATCGACATTTCGTTGGTGTTGGGCACGCGCCAACAGCAAAGGCGGAACATGTGCTCCAAGATGATCTGACACAGCCCCTCAAGAGGACCCAACATAGGTCCCAGATATGGCACGCACATAGCCGCAAGATGACCCTACCTAGGTCGCCCCAGATATGGGAAACATGGCCCCTAGATGGGCCAAGATTGCCTCAAGATGTGGCAACATAGGCCCCACACAGTCTCAAACAGAAAGAGAGAGAGAGAGAGAGAGAGAGGCGGCAGGACACGTGCAAGACGGCTCTCCCGACTTCGGCGTATACCAGGTGTTCGCCCGGGCGGTCAGCCCCCTTCTCGAGAAGGATGCTACCAGGACGCCCGAAGTCCCGGCCCCCGTCGTATACGAGGGTGGGGAAGCGATGCTCTCCCACGACCTTGTGGCAGAGACAGAGACAGATACCGACAGATACCGAGACGGAGACAGAGACGCCCTACACATACCCACATAGGCCGGCGTCCGGCTGTCAGGCGTAAGCCTCATAAATCATTTCCCCCTCCTGGATGTTTCAGATTTTTAATTGGTGATCCCGATCCCATAGACGATCCATTTTCGAGCTCTCTTTCGATCTTCTCCCTCGTGTGCTGAGGATCTGCAATGTGCTGGACAACGTGCTCCTGGGTGGCATGATGGTGATTCTGATCCTCGGCACCTTGGTGCATCACTGGTCCCAGTGAACGGAGGAGGTAGGAGGGTCCGGGATCCGGACCCAGCGGATCCTCACCACAGACAACCTTGCAAACTGAGTCTAGCAGCATCTAGCAGTAACAAGAAGCTAGTAGAAACAAGTGCATCGCTACTAGTAACAAGTGCCTTACTAGTCGTAACAAGAAGCTAGTCGAAACAAGTGCCTTACTAGCAGCTAGGGATGTAGAGTCTCGACCCTGTGGACTAGCCCGGAAGATGGATAATTAGATCTCGAAAAGCGCCCGTCGGTGCATGCGACGGACGCGTGCGACGGACGCGTGCGACTGGTTTTGAGTGCACACATCCGACATGGACTCGCATTGCGCTGTAGGCTCCATCGCGGTGCAAGAGTCAGTTCCACAGGAGATGAGTACGGTCGTTCTTCAGCTGCAGATCGGCGGATCGTTGACTGCAGTACGGTTGTTAGATTGCCGGATTTCGAAGGCCTAAGGAACAATTTGATGCGTTTGTTTCGGCTATAAGTGGTGTTGGAAGTGTTTTCTTTTCAAAGGCTGAATGAGTTTCGCTATAGCCATAGCGGCTGTGTAGCTCATAAGTTTGGTGGATTGCCCGAGGCCAGGGGCCCAAGCGGCCATGCATTGAGCTGCATGTATCTGGCCACTGTAATGTATGACACAGGATGTTCTTGACAAAACTTGTGCCACAAGGCTTTGGTGTTCTTGGTGCTTATGGGCCTTTGCATTTTGGGAAGTATTTGCTACGGCGCCTACAAGTACTTCCAACAGAAGTACCGCAAGCAGCTGCTGGGCTTGAAGGGATGTTCTAGGATTCGAGGCACGTTTAAGAGGACGCTGCCTCAAGGCTTACAGAGAAATGAAAGGTTGTAACATGCCGTAACCTTGGGAGAAGATATGTTTACTGTTATGCCCTAGGGATCGAAGTACCTTCTCAAAAGGTACTTGGACCCTCCAAACCCACCCCAAACACCTTCTCAGAGGGTACTTGGATCCTTAGGGATGTATTGTTTTAGGTCGCTATCTAGGTTTGACCCGATCCGACCCAGTCCAGGATCCCCTCTTCTCCATGTAGGTTTGCCCTTTAACCGTTGGATCGGAGCATCCCCTCAAGGCCAAGACACAAATAGATAAAAGGCCCTTTAGCGAACACAAATCAAGAAGGAAAAGGGCGTAGCTCCCACTTGGATTCTCGGGGTATTTTCATCACAAGTTCGGACAGGACCATGACTCACCAACAGGTTATGAGCCGTTTGAATGAACGACAATTAATACAACAAAACAATCAGCGGTCTGAAAGGTTCTACATGGACGCGTCGCACTTTGCGTGGTGGGAGCACTTTGAATCCCTGTACGCACCCAGAACGCCATGGGGGGAGGCACAACCCTGCCCCCCCCCCGCCCCAAACCCCAACCTCAGCTCCAGTGGGCTCGGAGCAAACAGTGGCAGCACGAAGCGCGACAGCGCCACAGAAGCCTGTTTGCTGTGACAGCACCACAGAGGTGGATGACAATGACATTGGAAGGGTAGGCCGTAGAGGTAGTAGCTTAAGTAGCTACTAGTATGGACGCAGGATAGCTCAAGCTTCTTCAAGCAAGCTCCCCGCCGCCCTAAAGAAGCTTCCATGAAGAAGCGCTCGCACTATTCATTTTGTTACTAGATGTTTCTAGATTTACGGAAACTTATCACTGTTTGATGCTTGGTATTTGGCATTATTTGGCATCCTTGCCGAAGGGAAAAAGCAACGGGTTGATAATTATAGGGACCATCATTCTCCCTTTGCACCTCCAATTTGCCCACCCGTCCCGAAAGAAGGTCGGACGACCAAACATATATAGTCCTTCAGGGATCGAGGACCCTTCAAACACTTTTCCAACCGTTGTTCACCACCGACGCCCGCGTTATAATTTTTCATGTGTTTTCCATTTTCTTATCACAAGAGGGCTTGACGAAGACATTGAGCATGAGAGGGTCTGAAACACATGCTGGAAGAGTAGCCTGTGATGGCAGTACACGGTTCGGCGAAACCAACACAAACCAAGAAGGAAAAGAGCCTGGCTCGCTTTTGGGTTGTTGCTGTATCCCTCGGACTTGTTGTGGACAGGACCATGACCCGCCATCATCAAGCACAGGCGTCACCAAAATATAGCGTTTCAGGAGAAATCCGGGCACATGAGCGAACAACTTAGCGTCCAAGTGATTTACCCAATGAGCTACTGCATGCCGCCACAACTTGAACTTCACCCAAAGCAGGCCACGTCTCACCTGCAAGTCAGCCACCGCCCTGAGGTTCCGGTACTTCTTGTGCCACCAGAAGAATGCTGCAGGTTCAATGGCAAGGTGCCTTCATTGCGTTTGGTTCCAGTGCGGCGGTGGGGCTTGTTGGTTCCTACCTCACCAGCACTGCAACTGTTTTCTCTTTCTCGCAGAGGACGTCCACGGAGGTTTTTGGCGTCGTTTCTCCATGTTTCTCAAGTGCAGACAGGTTTCAGGATGGGATTTGTCAGGCCAAGTCTGAATCTGCCAGGGTGCAGGATCATTGCCAATGTTGTGAGGAGATGCTAAGATTTTGAAACAATACGGAACATTGTGTTTGCGTTGTTTGAAGGGCTGAAGCGGTTGCTTGTTATTAACATTTGACATCTGATTATCCGTGTCAAACTTATAGGTAGTTGCAGCTCAAGTCAGATCCTGGCCTTTACAAATTGCATTATTTTGTTGGGAAGGGTGTGGGCCTGATGTGAACCCAATGAACAAATAAACTAAAACACCGGACCCAGGTTGGAAGAATTGTTTTGAGTGTGTTTTGCTTGGATATTTTGATCGGTTGAGTCGAAACTTATGTGTTCGAAGCATGAGGAGTGGGTTTGTTCGGTTTGTTTACAGGTTCGGGGGATTGGCATTGCATGGTAGAGTTGCCGATGCCCTTCTGAGGCTCTTGAAGATGGAGCTAGAGAAGCGTTTGCTTCTTGTCATGGCACATGTTTTTTGCTTTGAGAGTTTTTGTTTCCTGCTTAGCTGTTCAGGTTTTGGTTTATACATGTTTACACCGTGTGACATAGTGTGACTATGGCACAGGGACTTGATCTGACTTGATCCAAAAGAAGAAGCTCCATGCATAGACATCTCCAGACAGTTGAGTTGTTTGGATGGTGACATGTGCACTGGAGTTGTCATTATACAAACACATCCAACACACGTTCCAGTGCACGATAAATCATACATGTTCCACTCACCGAATATGACCCAAAAAGCTGTGTGCAAGGCCTGGGACCAAGACCTTCATCGACTGCGACGACCTGAATGACCTGACCCGGCTGTTCAGCTATGTGGGCCAGGCCGACCGCGGGGATGGCGCATCGGCGATGTCGTCAGGCCGCCTTTTGGGCCATGTGTTGGATGAAGTTGACACCCGGAAGGGTGCCGGTCAGAGTTCAGAAACTGCAAAAGTGGTGAATGGTGCGAGGGAGGCTACACAAAGCGGTTTTTTGGTTGAACGGACTTTGAGGGAGCCTTGAGGTTCACCAGCCCGCCATCTCACAACAGCCATTTCCAGTGCTGATCAATGTGATATAGTCACCATGGAAGGAATCCTGTGCGATGTGGCAGCTTGAGAACTACAGTGTGTACAAATGTGAGTGAGATTCCCACTGCGCATGATTTCCTCCAACCGTGGGATGTATAATTCCACAGCTATCTGAGCTGCAGGATACGCAAACGTTCTTGGTGCTGTGCAGCCCCGACATCCTCACGCGCAAGTGGTGTGTGGGGGAAATGGTCACTGCCAAAGCCAACGGAGTCAACACCATGCTGCTCACATGGCCAAGCTTTGTGTTTCCGGACGACGCTGGGAAAGAAAGCCACGGGGTGAAAACGAGCTCGGCAGACAGCGCAAGAAGTGAGAGTGGGTGGGTGATGGTGGGTGTAGGGGTTTGTAATTTCGGTGTGTTTTACACCTTCAAGATCCAGTTGATCGGTGAGGTGTTTGCATGGGAACAAGTGCAACAAAGGATGTTTATAAAGAAACTTTTATATAGTTGAAAGCTTTCAGTGTGTGGGGAGTTAGTCATTCAGCGGGCCGGCAACTATTTGCTGAGAATTTGCTTCGGGGCAGTTTTGGAGGGTCTAAGTACCTTCGGAGCTGGGGTTGTGCACTTCCTTTGCCAATTGCGGCAGTACTGATAAGTTCTGAAACCTGTTGAAATCAGTGCGATAGAGACCTATAAGCTGGGACTTGTGGGCTCAGACCTAGGAGCTTCGGGGCTACTAGCTCATCGAACAGGGGAACAAGGGATCCTACCTGACGAAAAACTGCAACGAGACACCACTTAGGAGCTGCGCGCACACAAACACACACAGACATGAACCCGGCAAGACCTTTTCTTTTATTTATGGACAGGCGATGCCAAAAGAAAGCGTTTTGTTGACAAGTCACAAGTCATGAAGGTTTCCTTGGCTCTCACCCTTTAAGAACCCCTCAATAGAATTCAAGAGAGTCTTTTGTTGCTTCTCCTACTTTTACATTCATGACCTGTACTGTAGTACTGACAGATGTGCTGTATTTGAATGGATTTGCATTTATTCCCTCATGACTTATAATTATTAGGAGTTGTTTTATGTCACTATTTTTCGACTATACAATACAATATGCAACTCATATGCAACTCATTTCACCAGGAATTGCAATTGTCTTTGGTGTGTTTTATGAAACTGTTCTAGCAGTGTTTCAAGTGTGTTCGTCAATGTGCCACAGCGCATGAAGAAAAACGGTGAAAACAAGGGTGTCTTCTCTTGTTGTGTTGTTCTTCTTACTTGTTAAGCCTTAAGATTCTGCATCAACTGCAGGGTCGTAGATGGTAGATCACGTATCGTCCTTACGTTGGTGTCGTTCACACTTCTCTCGCCCACCGGGTGTTTTTAAGGAAACCTTCATCGCGAAATATCCAACGATGGTTCCGGACATCACCGAGCTCACGAAGAACCTGGGCACCAAAACAGGAACCGTTGGAATCCAACTCATCTGACGGTGACCAGTGGGTTGAAAAGGCATGAAAAGGCTAAGCGGCTAATGATTGAGCGGCTAATGATAATGCAGTAGAGCTTTGAAGACTTGGAAGACCTTTGCTGCCATGCAAGCAGAGGTGCTGTCAGTTGGGCTGGAATTCAGGGATTGCGATTGATGCCCCCCCAACAAGAATACCGGTCTAGAGAAGACGGGAGAAACATTTGGATCACATTGGGTGCCGGCCCACCTCCATTTCTTTCAGCGGATGCACCGCCTGTTTTGAACCTACTTCTGTCCCGTCACCGGTCACCTTTCTGTTTACATGGGGCCGTGGAAGCCACCTTCTTACATGTGAGTTACTTTCCTGGCTCCAAGCTGTCTGAAGAAACGGTGTACAAAAATGCTGAGTGGATGGAACTTCAGAAGCACAGTTTATGGAACTTCAGAGCCTCAATGGCCATAATCACAGTGTTTTGGAATCTGGAGGACTGGTGATTGAGCGACTGACCAGACCGAACAGGGCCTTTTCAGATCTTTTCAGTCTGGAGGATCGCTACTAGGTTGGAGGCCATTGCTATTAGGTTCCTTTTGCTAGGAGCCAAGAGCATCGCTACTAGGAACGAGGCTACGAACGGGGCTCCTGGCCTTACTACGAACGGAGCGATCGGACGCTATGAACGGAGCAAAGGCCATCGCTACTAACAAGTGCCTTACTAGTAGTAACAAGAAGCTATCAGAAACAAGTGCCACGCTACTAGTAACAGGTGCCTTACTAGTAGTAACAAGGTTCGCTACTAGGGGCTCCTTGTCCACCCGTCAGGTACGGCATCGGCCTGGAGGACGTGGAGGACGCCTTCCGATGGCTCACCACGGTGCCACACCAGCCGCTGCCCGAGCAGATCTCCCCGACCTCGACCCACTTCATGATCTCGAGCCTGGTGTCAGATGGACGGAGCAGTCCGATCCCTAAGAGCACCCACCAGATCCAGTTTGACACCAACTTCCCCGCGCCTTGCAGAGATCGATGGTTGGACCTGGAGACCAGACTGGAGATTTGGGTGCGTATGCGGGTCATGCGTCGTTTCGTAGGATTTGTCGAATGTGGGTTCGCCTCCATCCACTATGGGAGTTGCCGTGACAATGTGCCAGAATTGAAAGTTCTATAGAAGAAAGATGAAGAAAGTGCTTGGTTCATGTTGATGCATGACTAGGTGGGAGGCCATCGCTTCGAGGTTGGAGGCTATCTCTATTAGAAATAGAGAAATGGAAGAAACATGCGCTAATATAGTAACAAGAAGCTACTAGTAGCTCCTGGCATTACTACTAGTAACAAGAAGCTACTAGTAACAAGGGCACTACTACTAGTAGCAAGGTGCCTTACTAATATAGTTTGCTATTGTTCATGTTGGTGCATGAATGTCAGCCGTGGTCCTGGAATGTCATTATGTCACCAATATGTCACCAATCGCATGGGCGGGGACTACCTATTGTGACACACGCGCACGCACGCACGCACCAGGCACTACTTAGGGACAAGAACTGCTGGAAGAAGAACCGCAGATACATCAGATATAAACATATATAAGCTAGAAAGCTAGGCTCACTAACCATTCAAGAAATCCACTCTTACTAGTTTCTACTTCTTTGGAATTCTGATGAATTCTGAGAAGCTTTAGAGATGTCAGGCTGCAAGACCAACAACCGAATTCTGTCCCAGACGAAAGATTGACACATCCACAGTCCAAAGCGCGGAGATTTATTGGAATTTGTTAGCTTCCAGTCAAGCAGCCTTGGGTTTCGGGACTTGACTGAGCATCCTTTCTCGATATGTCCTTTCGACACCTCACAGCCCAGTGCAGATTCGAGGTGCTCGTGGATCCTGCAAACTCGGAAGCAGTGGCTGCAGCTATGGTGCTTGCCAGCCTGCTGCTGGGCGACGAAGGGATGGGATCACAAAGGATCGATCTGGGAGTTACTCAGGCAGTGCTGCGACTGAGTCGTAGTGGCGGTGTGCGGTGTACGAAGGATTGCCAGTGCTGGGAAGCGCGTTGGACAATCTAAGCCACTGATGTTTCGTCCTGATCTTTCTCGCCGTCGATCTAAGCCAGGAGTTTCCAGTGGGATGTTGTTCAATGTTGTTCACTTTTCTTCATCCTGTTCCCCCAATGGTTATGGGAATGTTGATTAAAACCAGAGAATGGCAACGGACTGTAGGGGACCCATTTCAAAACAAACAAATGAGCCCTTTCAACTGGGTAACCAGGGCTTCACATGATCATTTTTAATGTTTAGAGCTGATGCATTGTCCCTGGATCCAGGAACTCTGCCTTAGATTGCCCTCTTTGTCTTTTAAATGTGTTTACCAAAGTTGGTTGACACAGACAGCGCTTTCCACCGCCTGTGCGGTAAAAGGGTATCTACTGCTGTTGTATATAAGTATATATAGGTTGCCCTTCCTGGTAGGCTGCCCGAGCTACCCCTGTGGCAACCTTTAGTGATGTGTTGTTGCCACGTCGGGGCGGAAGTTGTCTCGTCGTGCACGTCGAGGCAGACGTTTTCCTACTCAATCCACCTGAGAGATGGCCATGATCCTTAACCTTTTTGCAGCTAAGAGTTTCCAGCTGTTGATCTTCTTTTGGTACAGGATGTGATTCCAACCATAGTGACTATAGTGCTCTCCTTCACCATGCATCGCCATGCATCACGCACAGGTTGAAGCCTGCACTCTTGGGCTCGAATTTGCCCCTTCCCTTCATCCAACTCAGCGGTGTTGAGGCTCCGCTCGTCCGGACGACCGGAACAGCGGTTTGGACCGGGTCACGTGGACGAATGCAAACGAGTCAGGGTCGTCAGGGGCCAGATCGGAGGTGGGTCAAAGTCGTTGGGGTTTGAAGTTGCTCAGGTTTCCGGCGCAACTTCTCGGCTTGGGTCAGGTTGACTGTAGATGTTCGGTGATGTGTGGTGATGTGTGGATCAGCTAGAACCTAGCTGGCTCCGACATGGGTGATGTTGAAGCCTGGCTACCATTTCCAACAATGAATCTAGGATGCAACACCTTGAATACCTGCCCTTCTGGTCATCCTTCTGGCCTACAAGCACTTCCCGTCCGGCCCAGTAAACGGGGTGCTAGGCCCACTGACTTCAGTGCTTCCTGTCCGAAGCGCCCACACGCGGCCCGCGAAATCTGCCAGGTCCCGCACGAAGCGACGCGCTCCTTGTTGATTTGCAGCAGTGGATGCTTCAAATCAGAACAGCTTCAGACCTGGCTGCTTTCACCGCAAAAAGTGTCGGATGGTCAACTTCACAAACCTTGACAGGTGAAGCATCACATGCGTGGGGCATTCCATGCGGCTGACACAGAATTCCCAATCACACCACACGGGGTGGTTGGTAGGTTGATTGGCCGGAGTCAATGTGGGCATGGAGTGTTTGGGTTGGAGTGATGGAAGGTCACTTCATCTTCAAAAACCAAAGCTCACAACCAGGTGTTGACTGCGAAGACTGGAATCGTTTCGGCTTTTGGGCGCGTACATTTGTCTCAGCTCCTCACTGAATCCGACTGGGTGTCCGATGACGTTAGCTGCCATCTACCCCTTGGTCTCCCGACGCGGTTTAGCTTGGGCCCACCGCCATGCTCGTGGGGGTCCTGTTGTGGGTAGAATAAGGAAATCCAAAACCAATGGGAAGCCAATGAATCTATCTACTTCAGCACGGTTATGTTTGTTGAGGTGTATGACATATATATATATATATATGTTGTTGGAGACTCCACTTTCTCGGCTTCTCCCAGTGGCCAGGATGGGTTTGGGCCACACCGGAAGTGTGGACTGTTGCCTCAGGCTTTTGGAAGCCTCATGCCTGCCAGAATGCTGCATGAGTCTTGGACTGGACGGGCCCAGAGTGCATCGCCCAAAGACTGATTTATTGTTTCTAGTAGTAACAAGGGCCTTACTAGTAGTAACAAGAAGCTATCGAATTTTCTAATTAAACTTTCTTGTTTAAAATAGCAAACATTGTTACTACTAGTAAGGCACTTGTTACTAGAAGCGATGCACTTGTTCCTAGTAGCTTATTGTTTCCTGATCCCATGGAATGCTTCGTTAGCATTGGCACAGGACCATAGGATGAGACTAGAGGGGTTTAGCAAAGACACACACACACAAGAATCGGGAGATTGATGGACCAAACTAATTGGGAGGATTTGTGTAATGCACTGAGCCGGAAGGCTGTTGCATTATTCTTAAACATGTCACATGTTCATATAGGTGGCCGGACCAAACTATAGGAGGCACCAAACTATAGGAGGCATACTTCCTAGGAGACAAGTCTTCTCTAAGTTCGATTTCCTTGTTCATTCTCTGCTCGTGTCCAAGTTGGACCGCACATATGCCACAAAGTGAGCCGCGCCACCCAGGATTCCAGTGATCACCGAGGAGGCTTTCGAGATGCCTTCTGAAGCCTTCTTCATGGAACTGCAAACCACGTCGAAGTTGACGGATAACCAGTTTCCTGCCGATTGAAGAAGTGAAAGAAGTGACCAACATACCGACCTTTTTCACTCCAAAAAACAATCGTTTCTCCCCACCTGTCGGGAATCACCCCGCCCACTTTCCCCCTCACTAAAAAAATTGAGATCAAAGCATCCTTCATACGTTCTTGCACCGCTCTGTGGCAAAGACGTGGCCTCCTTCCAAAAAGCGCAGCCGCCCAGGTTGCAGTTGTTCGTGATGGCCACTCGTGCGCAAAGAGAAATGTTTGAACCCATGAGTTGCGAATACAGCTGGCCCGACATTCCATGGACCAATGGATCTTGAACACACGATTTGCTCACTCATGGGGTGGTTTTAAAAAGGAACATGTTCGGGAAGAAACATGAAGAAACCGCTTTCTGGGATTATCATCGTCCGGAGTCCTACTTTGTCCGGGGTTTTGTGAATCACCTACTTTTGATCGGTTCACCCGTCACATTCCTGCAGAACCAATCCCCAAAAACCCACAGACTTGGTTGCTCTCGGCGGCTCCAGGCTAATAGCGATGCCCTTTTCTCCTAGTAGCGTTCCTTGCTCCTAGCAGCAAGGCCAGGAGCCACTGGTAGCGAACATTGCTCCTAGGTGATCAGGGCGTTGTTCCAAGAGATTGCCGTGGTCTTCGTGCCACAGAGCTATGCGTCCACCCATCAGGATTTGCAACTCCGCGCCAAGCAGGCAGCCTGGTCCTTGTAGATGGGGTTTGTTTTTCTCCCTTGAATCCCCTGCTGGGTAATTTAAGAGGAATCAGTGATCAGTCTAATTTTGTTTCCAGGATCCTTCAGACATCGCCAGGCAGCTTCTAGGCTCATCGCCAACCTTCAGCCCTTGGAACAGAAAGTCTCCAAATTGCAGTCCAGGCGACTCGTCCATGATGTACATGTCTTGTTCTCCACGTTCCGGCTTTGACCTCGGGTGGCGGCGACTCCGGCCCTGGCTTCCTGAAGCCGTGATCGCGGAGCCAAAGCCGGAACTGGATTTAGAAACACAAAGGATCACAGTTTGGTAAGTTTCAGCCGGCAGTGCCAGATTGGAATCTGGGTTTGTGATTAATTAGTTGACCATGTCCATGCGATTCGGCATGTCAATTTCGTTATGTGTTCCTTCACTTCAGTTGAGCACATGTGTATAAATTTGGTCCCAAATGAGTTGCACTCGAACTGATTCCAAACGACGTTCAAGTTGCGTTTGATTATGACTTGGGCGAATGAATGCTTTGCACAAGAGCTACGCAAGACAAAAGGGTTGGGGTGTTTGCAAACAAAACACAAACCGTGCCAGCGGGCAAAGATGGCTAGCAGGTTGGAGGCCATCGCGAGTAATTAGGTTGGAGGCCATTGCTCTTAGGGGGAGGCCATCGCTATTAGGTTCCTTAAGAACCTACTAGCGCGGACGCTGTCTTTGGCTTTGGTGATCGAAGAAAAATATTTGCCTCTTGGGCTGTGGGTTGGAACTTCCTCGGCTGGGCGGTCATTTGAATCCCACCTGTGTCCATCCCACCTGTCCCAAACAACATGTTCAGTTGGATTTTCAGAAACTGCATTAGCACATGAGTTTCCCCAAAGCGAGCAAGCATCCCAAGAGCAATGCTCCCCTTGTGCATCTAGGTTGGAGGCCATGGCTATTAGGTGTCTAAAAGTCTGTTAATATTGTCTATAAGGGTATGTATAGAGAGGGACCATCTCAGCTGAGGTTCGGAGAACAATCTTCTGTGGAAGAAATCTGGCGAGCCAGGAGCAGTATGATGGTGACTTGAGGTTTTGATGTACATGCCATGGGGGGCCTGTCCCCAATCCTGGAGTGGAAGACCGGTTAGGACGATTAGGGTCCTCCGTTGTTTAACGGTGGGGAAAGGTGCATGTCCAGAGGGTTGCGTTTTCAATGCCTTTGCATGTCCCTTCATCGTGATCAGTCACTCAGGTGAAGCAGGAAGACTGACCTCCAAAAGAGCACGAGTAATATACAACAGTTGGTATACTTTGGTGCTCTCCAAGTAATTACCCTTGCAATAACTATGCCGACCACGCGGTGACTCCACCCCTTCTTTTTAATGCATGGCATGCAAGCCATGATTTTCCATGTTTTTCCCGGTGCCCCAAGCATGTACCCCGACCACGGCCCGCCGCCTTCGTGCCAAGCCCGACGTCAAGGCCATCTTTGCTGGAAGTACCGTTGGGGGAGGGAAGCTGTTGTTTCCTCTGGATTATTTGATTAACGACATTTGGTTGATGAAGCCTGGTTGTTTCCGATGGGTTTGTGACATGAATCTAAGTTTCTAAGGTGACCAAAGGCAGCGAAGAGCCAGAAGATTGCAACAAGGCAGGGCTGGGATTCGGACCTGGCAAGGAGCATTTTCGGGCGACCGAACGAAGTGGTTGCTTGGTGGGTTCTGATTCTGATGGGACAGGGTGGGGTTGATTCGGGACTCTCTGGGCTGAAGTGCGTGCACCTCTTCGGATACCGAACAACCGTTCAAGAGTTTGTCAAGCACAACACTCTTCAGACCAATTTGTTGCTTTCAGCAGGAGGAGGGGCAGTTGTTGCTTCAATGATTGTATGCGATAGTGCGTCAAGACTGAATCAGCAGATGTTCACCTTCAGATGGTGTGAGACCTTTTCGATGGAGTCCTGGAGGAAAATCAGATCAGGTTTTCATCATTCGTGGGATACCTTCAGGCCTTTAGTTATTTGTGCCAGGATGATCACCTCGTCAGGGATCCATCTTCTGAGAAGAACTTGAGTCGAGTGTTTTTTGTATTTTTCCGGTTCTGTCCGCTTTCTGGGAAGGTTGACACAGCATTTGGATAATTCTGGTTGGATGGATGAGATGAGATGGGTGAATGCACACACGTACACAAACACCAACGGCGACACGTTGCGTGACACTCTTCAAAGACACTCTTGAAGGATATTCCGGGGTGACACTCTTCTAGAACACTCTTGTGGGACACGCTTGCACGACACCTTTTCTTTACACTTTCGTACGAGACTCTTCTAAAAAACCACTCTTGCGCCACAAATATATGGGACCCTCGTGTGTGACACTCTTGTGGATCTTGTGGGACACACTGTAGCACACTCTTGTAAGACACTCTTGTAAGTCACTCTTCTTGTGGGACACTTTTGTGGAACACTCTTGTAGGACAGCTTTTGTGGACACATGTAAAACTTTAACACTCTTACTGGACGCCCTTTTGCGCGATACCTTCGGAAGATGGTCTTCCGAGCGATCATTTCGTTCGAGACCTCCTCCAAAAGTCCGCATCTTTCGCCGTCAAAACGAGGATTTCGTTCGAGACGTCCTCCGAACGTCACACGTGCGCCGTCTCCAAAGCGAGGGTACGAAACCCTTGGACGTCCAAACGTGACAACCTCACGATTCCCCCCGCGTTTGCGGCCTCCCAGCACCTCCAACACGGACGTATTGCACCTGCCAAGTGACCACGCCACAGCTTGACATGTTTGTAGGAAAATGTCCGCCGTACCACACGTTTGGATTGGATCGACACATGGCGCTGTTTCACCCAGATTTGTCAATGTCACGATCAAACAGCCTCCGGGGCAAGCGCTTCAAGAGCAGATCCAACTGGTGCAGCGACATTCAACGCCTCCAAAAATACCACCCTGCCTACGCCAATGCCAATCGATCGCTCGCGGGCGGTAGCGAACATGAAAGCAACGTCGCACGAACTCACCAGGCCCTACCGTACCCCAGAACCTTTCGCGACGCACGCGGGAATATTGGCAGTGCTCTGCGAAGAACCATCCAAACAAGCCCTGACGTCTATCACAGTGCCTGTACACGTAGGACATCCTTGGCCACCTCCCTTCAGGAGTTGACACCAACCGAGTACTCCGATGGAGCCTACTTTCCTCGGGTGGCCTGGCAATGTTTTCTGGAACGAAGAAAATCGGTGAGGCACTGATTGGAAGCAAACAAGGAAGGATCCAAATGTGTTTTCCTTACTATATACGAGTAACAAGTGCATCGCTACTAGCAAATGGCTACCTACTATACTTACTAGTAAGTCTACCAGTAGGAATCTTCTGTCCGAAGTTCCGGCGCAAACCTCAGGACGTGGTCAGCGAGGCTTTGTGAGACCAAAGTCTGCCGATTTTCGGAACAGCGGACGTTCCCAGGGTGAGGCCAAACGTGATCGTTTTGCCTGCGGCGGAAAGCGTTGAGATAGGTAAGATATACAATCCAATCATGAATACGGTTGGTTCAAAGACCCATGTCTATGTATGTCTATGTTCTAAGTCAACGAATTTGTGAAGACATGTGAACACTATTACGCCAGCAGTTTCTCGAGGACTCTTTGAAAGGTTCGCGCAAAGTTATCAACCTGAGAAACTGTTTGCTTGCAGTTGGCTGTTTCCGGCTGCATGTTGAGAAGCTACGAACACTTGAAGATTGGCTGCTGTTTCCGAGGGTGTGTGAAAATATACTTGGTCAAAATGCTAGACATGAGAAGATTGGCTGGTTGTTTCTGGTTGAATTTATGGGGGCTGTGAAAATGCCATATTTGGTTGGCTGTTTTGGGGGGCTATGAAAATGCCGTTGACCAAATTGGATTCCCAGGGAAAACCTTCGAACAAGCAATTTTGCTCCTAGTAGCGATGCCCTTTGTTCCTACTGTAGTAGCTTCTTGTTCCTAGTAGTAATGCCAGGAGCTACTAGTAGCTTCTTGCTCCTAGTAGCGATGCCCTTTGTTACTAGTAGCCTTTGAACAAGCAATTTTGGGATGGTAAGAAGCTACTAGTGGCTCATGGCCTTACAACTAGCATCGCTACAAGGAGCAAGGACGATACGAAGGTAGCTCCTGGCATCACAGTTGACGCTTGCATTTCAGATTGGCTGGCCGCCTTGGATCGTGTTTTGGGAGTCTGCACAAATGCCATGCATTTCCAGTGGCCATGCAAAAACATTAGAGGTCGGTGGCCAAATGAAGTTTTTGAGGGGTTTTTGCAAAGCGATTTGGGAATCACTTGCACAAATTGTTTTCAAATTGTTTTGGCATGGGCTGACATGAGGAGGTTGGCTGGCTGTGTTTCCCATTGCACTTCGAGAGGCTATCAAGATGAAGGAATCGCCAAAGATTCCGCACTGTAGCACGCGAAAAACGACATTATAAATTATAAAGCCCTACACTGGACGGCCTTGACATACAATATATACAATGGTTCTAAGTGTTCTAAGATCTCAAAACCATGGTGGTATTCACTTTTAAAGTTCACTTCATTTGGTACTCCATCATCGTTTACCCACAAAACCGATGAGTGAAAAGGGCTCCGTGTCCAGGCAGTGCTTTTTCAGACTCGCCTTTGAACCATTTGGGTGCCTTGCCGGTGGCGTTTCGCCCACCAAACTGGTTGCCACCCTTGCAATCGGTCTCATGTAAAACAGATTGATGACCAACGGTTGGTGTTTTTGTTGCAGCATGAAAACGCGGCCACCCACCTTCAAAAATCAATGAATCAATTTGGCAACCTGATCTTTGCTTGTGAAAGGTCCCTTGCAAGGCAATTTGGTCTGATGTTTCCCCGACGCTCGTCAAAAAGCAGCCATGAACTTTTGGTAACCGGTCGACCGATCTCTAATGTTTTTGTTGAGGCTTTGCGTATCTAAACAGCAAGTTGGCCACAGAGTCCTGGTGGCAACTGCCCTTGCAGCCCCCTGAAAGAACCAATTTGGCGACTGCTCTTGCACAATCCCAGCAAGGAATTCTGTGACAATGCATCAGGTCACAGCGAAAGAACATTTTCGGCAACGGGGGTCTTGAAATTGTTCCACACGCAACTTTGCTTGCGGAAACTGTGCGAAGGTCCTGAGCAAGACAAGAAATATCAAACCTTGAACAACCCTCTATATAATCTAAATACAGTAGATGTACACGCTTATATATCTTATATAATCAACTATATAAACATGTATTTATATATATATACATACTGTACATTGTGAGTCAAGCAACGTTGGAGTTTGGTCAATCATTGGTCAATCATTCGTCCTGTCACTAGGAACGCTCAGAGGAACGCTCCGCCGCCCCCTGGAACATGCTGTACCACTGCATATTTGCTACCACGTGGATTTGCAGCCATGTGCTGGAGGAATGACTCCAGGTTGGCAACTGCACCTCCCTTAGCAGCTAGGAATGCTGGAGGCTACCTGTTGCGAATCGCTTCCTGGCCCTCGTTTGTTTTCCTTTATGAGGGCAAATGCGGAAGAACCGCTTTCCTTGCCCAATCTTGCCCGCGTTTTTTTCCTTTAGTAGGGCATGATAATTGATCATGCCGGAACAATTTGCACGCTCCTTGTTTTGTCGATGTTCCACAGCTTGACAAGCATTTCTATCACCAACGTCGTCTCCGCTCATCGTGGGGTAGGAGGACATCTCATGAGGCAACGGTCAGAATTTTGATGTGATGGCGTTATCATTGGCCGAGAAGAAACAGAGCCAACATTTAAGGTTCCAAAACCGTTGGTTTCTGTTTACACGTGGGCTTCTCCCTCTAGGGTGGCGGGTGATACGAAGAAAGCTATCAGGCGTGGTGTGGCTTCGCTCACGATGTCGAGCTACAGAGCTGTGCGCCGCTTTTAAGTGCCAGGATGTTTGCAACCGAACTTTCCACAGAACACGTGAAGACGTGGATCACTGCAACAAGCGCACGTGTGTTGACGAAATCCAAAGAAAAAAATCCTGACGGACGCAGGGCGTGACGCAAAAGAAAGGCACCGACTAGCAATGGCCTCCAACCTACTAGCGATGGTTTGTGTTTGCAAGTGCTCTACATCTCAGCAAGGTGATTCTCCGTCAGTTTGGCACCTGGCAGACCACTTCTGTTTTGTGTCCTGTGTGGCAATTGTGTCAATGTCCTTTTTCTTCCTTTGCCAGAGCTTGCACATGTTCACACTCTGAAATGTCCAAACCTTCAAGTGAAATAGTTCCCCTCAAAAGGCATCTGGGCAATTCTCACGGAGACTCATTGCATTTAGCCGCATGCTTTGTGGCCAGGTCACCAGGAAGGACTTTCATGTCTGTGGCGGCCAGCGGCCAGCTGCCCAGATCGTATGAACTGGCGCCCCAGACAACCCATGCCGTCGTTCGTTGGCAGTTGGCTGTCGTTTTCTTTGGCCAACCTGACGTAGACGACACAGACACGAAGATGAAGACAGACGGGACCAGCACAGGACCGGCAGGTGTAGGCGTGACGTGAGGCTGTAGGCACGAATAGGCACAAATAGCCAGGAGGTGAGGACCAAAACGTTTTTTTTTGTTTTCCCCTTTTTGGGATGTTCCACGCCATTTGGAGATCCACAGTGCCTTGTTTTGTGGCATCTTCAGCTACTTGTTTAGCAGAGCTGTTTCATTGGGATCCGGAAGAGGCAATTCGCTGCGTTCGCCCAACGACCGGATGGCGCTTCCCACAGCCCCGGTCGACTGCCGTCATACCCAGAACGAGCTAGACTACCCTCCGCCGAACACACGGAGGTGGAAACGGGCCTCCTGGGAAGACGACTTTCCTCGGCGGTTTCCACTTCCATGTGATGTGTTCGTCGAAGTGTACATAGCGGCATGGCAATAGCAATTTTTGCCCTCATGGTATTCGGCCAACTATCTCTTGTGATGAGCTGCTTTGCTACCCTGCTGTGGGTTTGAATGACAGAGGGGTTGCCGGGGTTGCCGTTTTGTTTGAAGCCTGAAATTTGATCTTAGACTCTGCCGGGAGTGCCTCATGCGACATCCTACCCCTACCGTTCCACCTTGCCCCACCCAATCCTGGCACTGTCAAGTGCACCTTTGTGCTGTGGAGTGGCCGAAGGAAGTTCACGGTTGAAACCGCCCTTTGGAAGGCCTGACTTGCTCCAACTGGACAATACACATCGACAAAGACAATGATCAAAACCATGTATCATGTACCATACTCAATGATAGCCCCATCAGCGAAGACTAGCCTCCAGCAATGGTTTCTCTGCGTGCGGCGTTTCTCAGACTCCAAACCATTCATGGCCTCCAACCTACTAGCGATGGCCTTCACGATCATCCAAGTTCAGTCCATGAACGAACATCTTATATTAGCCGATGGCTCCAAGTCACGTTTGCGTCCCGTTTTGCGCTGCCCATGCGTGGGACCGGAGCTGCACAGCCCTGGTCAGATCCGGCGTTTGTCGTTTGGTTGCCCGATTCGCTTGGCGCTGCGGACATCCGTTCGTTCACGGTTTTAACGTGCTGAACAACTTGGTGATAGTAACAAGGGCATCATTAGTAGCAAGGCTTCCTACTACACCTACTACTATAGTAACAAGAAGCTACTAGTACCAAGGGCATTGCTCAAAAGAGCTTACTAATGAGTGTGGGCCGAAATGGGTGTGACTTGGAGTCAGCACATCTGTTCACAGGCTCGGATTTGTGTTGCGGAATTGAGGTGGAAAAAGGATTTTGCACATTTAAATTCTATTTATGTATGTATTGTTACTAGTAGCTTCTTGCTCCTACTGTAGTAATAAGGCCCTTGCTCCTAGTAGCGAGGCCAGGAGGTCCTAGTAGCGTCCTTTTGCCGTGAATTTGCGTATTTATTGATTGGACATGTGGCTAGTTTGGAATGCTCAATTCACACGAATGTGCCACAGGGTATTCTGTACCTCTCTACGGGGTTTTGGAATGATACCATGCGTGGATTCTTTCCATGAGTGAAGGTGCGTGAAGCGGTTGGCCGCCGGTCGACCAGCTGGTTTGGGCCCCGCCTTCGATGGCCTTCGATCTTGTCCCGAACTTCTGCGGGGTCTATAGTAACAAGAAGCTACTAGTAGCTCCTGGCATTACTACTAGTAGCCAGAAGCTACTAGTAACAAGACACCTTACTACTAGGAACAAGAAGCTCCGAGTTACTAGTAGCGCCTCGTATTGATAGTCACTTAGAGATTTTAGAGTGACCTGGGGGTGTCCAACAACTATCACTAACTTGGAGGACGATAGGTTTCTTTGTGTGAGGACCGGATGCTACGAACGTAACAAGGGCATCGCTATGAACGGAGCGATCGGACGCCACGGGGGCCCGTGGATCGGCAGCCCGTTGACCGAGGTGTCGAACATATGCGCACCTCACTACGTCTGAAACAAGGAGCTTTTAAACGTCTTTTGGAAAACAGCGGGTTTCTATGGATAAGCTGGTACAGTAAGTGGAAGAAGTGTTAGATTATCATATGTTTGAGTTTGGCTCTATTGCAGCTATGTTTGCTTGCAGCTTCAGCTTCTGCGCGGAGTGAATGCATTCACGTTTGCATGTGGACGCCAGCGACAAACTCCTTTCCTTGCGTTGCCAACAAAGCTGGCTCGATCAACGACTCTCATAGACGCAAAGGTAGCGCTGATAGAGAACGCTTTTCGAGGTAGCGCCAAGCGAAAGAGATCAGCTCCCGGGTTTTGATCGAAGGACGAACACTCATTGGTGTCGTGGCAGGCCTGCGACCAAGAAGCTCTAGAGCACAATCTGGATTGGGCCAGGCTGGCGAATTTGGTGGAACCATCGATGGGCAAGAGATTGGGAACACCACATCGCATGAACCCAAAGAAGTTACACTTCTTGAAATAATCATGGAAGTAGAAAATGGTCGCGTAGATGACGATGATCTTATGCAAATAGGTGATGTTCCACTTCCATGATTATTTAAGGGAGTGTAGCCTATTCAACTGATGCCCGGTTCCGGTTCAATTGGAGGTGTGAGAGCTTGAAGAATAAAAGAGTCGCTTAGGACATAGCTGTGCGCGTCAAATGGAACAGGGAAAATATTGTTGAGGCCCAGGGTTCAGTACAAAATTTACATGTGCTGTTCATGCAACTTCTGGCATGTGACGCCTGATAACACTTTTCAATCAGAGAATGCTGGAGGGTCTCATTGCCACATCAACCATTTTTGACATAGTCAGCAACACCATGCAGAAGATCAACCTGAGACAGCAGAAAAAGGGTCATCTGCATCAAGATTCTTGTGCTCAGCATTGTTCATCCAAACTCAAGGAGGTTCTACAGGATCATCAATGGTTGATCATAGTTCCGTTCATCCTCATTTCGTTATACTGTATATTCCGGATCGCGATGTGGCGCGTCACGGCGGTCGCACTCCCATTCTGAAGCTCAGGAGGTCGAAACGTGGCGACGAGGAAGCTCAGGAGGTCGACGAGCGGCACTGCTCCACAGTTCATCGCATTGTCAATTGTTTGGTACACACCTTTGAGGTGTGAATGTATGTGATTGTTGCTAGCTCCAACCAGAGCGGAGCAGCTTAGTGATTGTATGCGGTTGTCAATGATCGAGCTGGGAGGTCAATGTCTTCAATTAGAACATATCTCAAGACAATTCTATGTTCAGCTTCAGACATACTCCTTCTCCCACTGCCAATTGACGCTTGCTTGGCTTGAATCGATGTCGCGGTGTGCTGTTTTGAGAGACCAATGCAGGACATGTAGGACAATGTAGGATGCTGCCAGTCAATGTTTTCAACCAGTTTGTCCTGTCCATGCACAACTCCACCTCCACTTGTACAGCAGGTCATCATGCAATGCAGGCACTCTCCATGCATTGATCGTGAATGCACATGATCAATAGAGCAATACTAACGACTCGGCTTTTAGTCCAGCAGCCCATGATCGGCCGATGGACGACCAGATGTAAAATGGTCCGGCCGTGCCAGACATATGTCCGTGTCAGCCACATCGGCTGATGTGTCTGAAGAGTGGAGCAAGAGTGCTCTGGTGCCTGGAGACATACATCGCTTGGAGCTGCAGGATGGCAGTCACGTCCTTGCATTGCGATGCCGGCCTGGCAAAGAGAAACTCAAACCTTGGAAGATGGCAAAGCAGTTGTTTATTTCCCAGCTGGGCGAAGATGCTATGGCTGAGGCGGATGAGGACGAGGGACTGAGGAGGGAGGTGGCAATGTGGAAAAAGATTGCAAAGTTGGAGGTCTCGCAGTACAGCATGGAGGTCAGAGGTTTCCGCGCTGTGGGCCTTGCGTCTAACAGGCTGGGCTACGAGAGGGCGGCGTTCCTGGCTTTGGCCGTCACAGTGGCTCTAGGGCGACCAGGGACTCGTCAAAGAGGCGACATGCACAAGTTGAAGTTGCAGGTGCAACGTGTTATGTCAAGTGGAATTGCCGCGAGCGCCGCTCCCAGAACTCAGGGTCGCTTGGCATGTGTGCAGCCCTCGTCTCGAGACAGCCGAGTCTTCAGAACTGTCAAGAAGTGGCACACTAAGTGCAAGGAGCGCAAGAAGCAAGAGGACGTAGCAAAGGCTCAACGAGAGGCCGCGGCAAAGGCTGAACAAGAGGCCATGAATGCAGCCATGCCAAAGAGGCAGCCCAGGCCTCCTTTCCACGCTCTTTCCGAAGATGTCCAACCGAAAGCCATGCCCAGACAAGCGCCGCAGGAAGCCAGAGCAAAGTCTGCTCCCTTTGTCCCTGTGAAGGCCATGCCAGTTGCCGGTCGTGGCGTTCCTGCCTCCAAAGCCAGCCCAAGCTTAAAGCAAGAGTTGGAAGAGGTGAAAGTTGAGTCCTCTGATGATGATCGCATGACGGCCAGCCCAAGCGTCAAGCAAGAGTTGGAAGAGGTGAAGGTTGAGTCTTCCGATGGTGAGAAGTTCGGCGATGACATGGTCAGCGACGCTGAAAGCGAGCCCAGACATTTGAAGAGAACGCCGCAAGTTCAGGAGTTCCTTCGGCATGCTCAGCGTGACCGCGATTGGGACCCAGCCAGTCCGAAGTTCGATGAAAGCAGGTGGGGCAACTACGTCCAGAAGATCAACTGCGAAGAACTGCGGTGGACCCATGCGAGCATCGCCGACAGATTCAGGAGTGGGCCACACAGGAACTTGAAGTTGGAATCCTTGACTGATGCATTGGTGAGTGGCCGCATCTCCGTTGATGATGTGCCAGCACTCGTGGGTGTACAAGACGAAGGTGGTATTGTGTGGATTGTTAGTGGCAACCGCCGCTTGTGGGCGATCCGGAGGTTCGCAGAACACCTGCAGGCCAGCAGTGGAGCAATGCAAGCGATGCCATGCGTGCAGGTCCGCACTTTGGTGTTTTCACTGGCTGATATGGACAGCTTTCCTCAGTCTCTCTTCGCCCGTTGTGTTGAAGCTTTCAGTGGCAACGGCGAGCGGCCAACGCTACGTGTTCCACCTGCGTTGGCTCAGCCTGCGCGAACCGCGGCGCCCTTGCCGATGGCAAGCATGCCAGCTCCCAGAGGCTCCTTGCGCAAGCGTGCGGCCTTCAACAGCCTTGAAGGTGAGTGGACGGATCAGACTGGCGCGATGTACAGGGTGACCTCAACTTCAGACATCTTTGCGATGCAGGTGCTCAAAAGCAATGGGCGCACATATCGGGTGCACTGGGATGAGGGATGCCAGGCCGTGGTGTGGCCATCCAGCTGCAAGCATTTTCTCGCATGCCCACGGAGCAACGACATAGTTGATTGGCACGACCAAGATGGACGAATGTGTTTCACCTGGCAGAGGAAAGGATGAGTGAAAGAGCGTCCACGCTGCCGTCCGCTTGAACACCCCCTCAAAGGATGCAGGGCAACTTACACAATGTGGAGCGGCGCAAAAACTGCGCCCAAGAGATCATTTGTCTACTTGGGGGGTGCAGTAGCCCAAGAGCAAATTCCAACCACTTGATTGCAATAATAAAGATTTGATCAAAGTATTGATTGGGTCTGTCCTGTTTCCTGTAATAGCCAGTAAATAACTATCACTATTTTTGAACAAGGCCTTTACTAATCATCATCATCCACTGTTACAGGCAATAGGATAGATCCCAAATATTGAAATATGGATATCAAAGAAACCACATGTGATCATTTTAGGGAAGCTGGCCCGAAGGAAATCGGGCAGCATCGCACGATCACTCAAAGGGGGTTCGCTACTCGTGCGTTTCCATCAGAGAAGAACTCGCGTTTGAATGATGAGAACTAGCCGAGCGAAGCCTCCGCGACTACACGATGCACTTTCCTTTCCGCAGGTGCGCGATGACGCCTTTAACCCCGTCAGCTGCTAGCCCAGTCGGAACATTCAGTGGGTGGCCCAGAAGGGCTGGGCGTAAAGCGCGCAGACAGTGTGGAATTGGAGTTCGTTGGGGTAGTTGGGGTTCATGGTCAGCCAAGGTGCCTCAAGAACACCACAGAAGTAGGGGGTCGTGCAACACAATTTCACATGACGGAAAGGGTTGGTCACTGTGTTTTTGTGCGTTGTGCATGTTCATACACGTTCATATCTTGTGGAATCCCTTCTGGACCATGAACCCACACACTTTTAGTTCACATCCAACTGCATTCTTTGTGCTGGATGTGTGGTGTTCCTTGCGGGGGATCTCCAAGCCTGGTGGGGCCCCACGTCCACAAATTAAACATTAAATTTTTGCGAAAAGGGAACGGCTTTGGAGCAAAATCGATGGCAAGGTGAGATTGGGCATGATTTTGCGACCTGCCAAATCTCCAATACATATGATTTGGAAATTTGATTAATATTATATATTTTATATATATTCTTTATATATATATATATATGCAATCTAAATATAAATATATTTCCGTAATAAAAAATATGTTAATAGATCTATTTTATGTATTTTTTTTTTTATAATTAATATATTTTGAAATTTGAAAATTAGTAATATTGCTTGGGAAATTAAATTTTGTTTGAATTTAGATAATATATTTATAAAATAGTGAAATGATTTGTGTTTATTTTAAATGATATTTATTTAGGATTTAATATATTTTACCGTATCGATTATTGATATTTAGTTTTATTTATTTTTAATAAATGATATTTATGATATTTAATATAAAATATATTTTGTTTATATATTTTTTTATATATTATAAATATATGGAGATAAATTTTATTTTTATATTATAAGGTCTTTAATATAAATATATATATATATATAAATAAATAACTATAAATATATAATTATACAAATTAAATTTTAAATATATAATTAAGTAGTGCCGTAATTTTTTATATATATTTTTGTTGAGAATTTTATTATAAAGAAGGTTGATGTAAATAAAAAGATGTATTATACGTAAGGTTATAAAAAATATTTGTTTAAAATATAACTAATCGTATAAGGATCGATTAAAAAAATATTATATTTTTATGTATTAAAAAATTCAAAGGGGAATTAATATTTAAGTGCATTATTCGAACGTAAATTTGCTATATATTTATTTTTTTTAGAAATTATTCGCATAAGCGAGAATTGCACGTACATAGTTATATTATAAATAATGAGAAAAATATCTATATAATTTGTTAATCTATTAAATTTTCTAGCATAATTTAATTATAAACATAACTATAAACACATAATATTAATAATTATAAACATAACTACAACTACATAACTATAAAACAATTATAAATATTTAATATAGAATAAATAGAAATAAAATAAACACAATTTATATATTATTTAAATCGAAAATTTCATATAAATAATCCTTAATTATTAAAATAAAAATGATATATATAATCTTATAAATATTATATATATATTTGAATATATTATTTTATTAATATATTATGTCTTTTTTCTCCGTCGAAAAGAATAGTTTGTATTAATAATATAACAATATATCGTTTATTAATATTTTTAATCCCAATATTAAATCGAATGAAAAATGAATTAATATACCGAATAGGATTTATTTAAGATTCGTATTGCCAACGAACTATTATACGCATGAATATAATCTATTTGTCTGTTTATTTTAGCATAGATTCCAGATAATCTATTGTATATATTTTTACGATAAGCTCTATATCCAGAGTAGGTCGAAACATATCGAAACAAATACGAATTAATTATGATAAGAAAAATACAAGAAGAAAAATGAATAAATTTAAATATGGAATCATCCGGTCAAAAATAATATCACCCGGCCCAGGCATACAACCTTTCTATCCAGAATGAGAATCCGGTACAAGTAAACCTAATTGGGAGCAATATTGTTATAGGCATGCAGGGGGATCGAAGGCCTTTTTGCCTTTGCGTAAGCCTAAGAGGTCGAACTCCGTGGCAGCGTCTTGCACCAAATTAAATGTTCAGACCGGTAGCTGGATTGTAGTCCTTTCCCTGAGAAGCAAGGAAGTCAAAATCCGCAACAAGACAAGTCACGAAATCATCGAATTCCTTTGGGACTACATTCCAACCGGTTCGTGGCAGTGATCGTTCTAGGATCTCCGCCATCATGCGACACAGTCCTCCAGGGTACTCCTTGAGTTCTGTCGTCGCCCATGACCCGTCGCACTTTCGACCTACAGCAGTACGCTTCGGCAGCGCTGTACAGCGGCCTCGCACGATTAGGGCCTCTAGCTCGTCAGTCGCGTTGGCAAATAGGAGCCTCGTGGGCTTCGGAGTCTTGCCTCCATAATGGCCCTGTAAAAGCCGGACACTCGTGCAGTTGGCAAAGCGGTGCATCATGCGAACAACAGGAAGTCTCCATATCGAAGCTGCATGGCTGTTATGTTCATCCTGCTCAGGGTGCTCTAGGATGGCAACTGCTCCACAGCAGATGGAGATTGCAACCAGATGGAGCGCAACTCCCAAGAGGCCGCTCCCGAGATCAACTTGGTTGTGTTCTCGGCGTGTCAAGTCCTTTCGTCCGAAAGGGCGTTTGGCAGTCCGAACCACTCTTGGGTAACGCCCCCCTTCAACCGCATTTGCTCGAACCTTGGACCATGTCTCGCATGGTGGTTCAGCCATCCAGCATACAGGGCCTGCTTGAAGAACAGAAACGTGTCTCTTCGCAACAAATTGCCCTTAACCTGGTCGAAAATAATATCGATTGAGATGGTCTTGAAGCCCTTCGCTTCTAAGACACTTTGCAAATCTTCAGGTCTCCGATGTCCCGAGAAAAGGTGCGCGACCACATGAACATCGAAAGTGGGCAACTGCCTTGCCGGTCCATGTAATGGCATCAGGCTGTCTGCTTCCCGATGGAAGAGGTCGACTGCACATCCGCTCTGTGCAGCAACTTCGAACTCCCCATCAATGATCCATTCAGCGCAGAAATGGTATCGAAAGCTAGAGATTCGCTGCAGAGTCTCCAGGCTAATATCCTCCATGTTGCTGTTCCAATCGTTCAGCCACTGTTCGAAGTGCTCAATAACTTCCTTCGGGAGGAGCACAGTTCGTCCAGTGGCAACTCGAAGTCCTTCAAGGACATCAGTGCGTACATCAATTGCCTCTTGCACACCCCTAGTCCATGAAGCTGAAAGGTCATCAAAGTCTGTTTGTTGTGGGTGGATCAGTGAGACAGTAGAGCACTCTTCACAATTTCTGGGCCCTTGTGCTTGGAGGTAAGGGTTGCTCCACTCCGTCAGCTTTCCAGCTGCTCCCCGACTGTTGACTCCAGCCTGAATCTCAACTCGATGTCCACGACTCAAGTAAAAGAGTCTGCAAGCCTCTTTCCTCTTTGCGTGGTTGATCAAGTTGACGTGTGAAGAATATTGTCTCAAACATGCCTCGCACTGTGTACCACTAACAAAATGGCGAACCTCACAAATTCGGTTGTGCTTTTTAAAAGCATGGACCGTCTGGGCTGCCTGTGTAGCAAATCGAAGTTTGCATTTAGCGCATAAGAAACCTAGGTCATTTGCCTTCTGGTCAGCGAAGTTCACCCCTTGCTCAAGGAATTCCCGATAGATATCTTTATGCCATCTGTCCCATTGATAGCTCCTTTTGGAATCCGAGATGTGTCTATGCACAGCTTTTCGAATAACTGCTTTCCATCTCCCCTTGGACTCAGTAATATATGCAGAGATGACATCCCAAGAAGCTTCCGTCAAAGGAGGTAGTTCGATCTCAGGCACAATCTCCCGCAGCCACTCAAAGTCACCTTGCAAAAGGGCAACCCAGTGCTGTTCAAGTTGGAGGAGTGCCCATAAGTGCGGTGTTCCATGGTGTACAAGCTGAAGGCAAAATCTCAGTCGAGCTTCTCGCAGGAACTCATCAGCCGTTTGAACCCCAAGCTCACTGTAGACCCTTCCAGCTTCCCATTTCAAAGCAGTCTGACCAAAATGCAGCATGGCTACTCGTTTCAGCAGCTTGAAATGCCCTTTCTGCAAACAGTCCTTTTCCCTACGGGAATGCAGGACCCATCCAGCTGCATTGAAATGCATAGCACTGAAAACCAAACTTCGCAGGAAATTGACCTTGGTAGAGAGGTCCAGTCCCCTGTTCCCGAAGATTTGACTTTTGAAATGTGTGACAGTGGTGTGGGCACAGCCAAAACGCACTCGTAGGTCAAGCATGGCCTTGGAGCCAATTCTAATCCAAGTCCCAAGATGTTTGTAAGCAGGAACAGCTCACATTGGTTGGGGTACATGGACAGAAGTAGTTGGCAAGACATTACCCGCAGAGAGAAGATCTCGCCTGGCTTGCAAGGTTCCACTTCCTTTGTAATCGACAAGGATCTCTGTTTTACCGGCTTTTAAGTTCGGCTGCAATCCCGAACTTGCCAGCCTGTCAAACAGAATGCCAGTGACTATCCCAATGACCTCATTGAGTTCCTCTGGAGCTGGAGCATGCATA